TGCAAGCGGCTCTGCTCATGCAGCTACAACAAGGCGTTCTCAATATCTACGACCTTACAACTCCTGTTCCGAAGCTCAAGTCTGTGGTGCATATGGAGAACGCAGTTTCTTTCGCTCGTTTGTCTCGACCATTTGTCTTGTCATGCTCACTCGAGTCGATCGGTCTCTACAACCACCAGTATAGATCCATCCATGCCAACGCCCCACTTGATCTTTCCGAGGTCCTTGAGGAGGATGAGAAGCCCCAGTCGTGCCAATTAATTAGCTACCTGCGAAGTCAGGAGCTAGCCGTGGCTCTGATTGACAACGTCCTGGTCTCAATCCAGATTGAGCCCCCCAAGAACCACGGCAAGCGACGCAAACAGGGTCTTCTGATTGACTCTATTGGTCGTGGAACTGCCACTGAAATCCCAGCGAAGAAGGCCAAGACAGAAAAGCTATCAGCAGACTTCTCCAAATATGTGCCTGGCTCGATGACTGAACAATATATGAGTAAGCTTCGCAGCGAGCTTGAAATTGCAGATGCGCATCTTACAAACGGTGACCTTGGGGAGTGGGAAGGTCTCCTACGCAAGCGATTTCGCGTGGGCCTTCGATCAACGAGTGAGAGCACTGAAGCAAAGGAGAAGGACGCCCAGGAACTCCCTGAATGGGAGTGGCACACAGGAGGCTGTCATTACGCTGTTGTGGATCGACGCTGGGTGCTCTATGCGATTGGGCGAACCTTTTCCATCTCTACAACCGAAGCACCAGAATCACGACCTAAGCTGCAGTTGATCCTGCCCGACACCAACGTCACATCCTACTTGGTTGTTGCTGGGCACCTGACCCTCTCAAACTTGAAGGCTGCATTCAGAGAAGAATGGGATGTGGAAGCCCTCGACAGCAAAACCATTGTTGAGGACCTTCTGACAAGCTTGACTGATGCTGACCCATCCATGACGCTGGTGTTGAATTACCTTCAAGCTACTCAACTTGGCGAACTGGAGCTACTTCTGGCTATCCGAGCTTTGATGCTCAATCTTGACCTCATCCCTGATCCCAAGAAGCCAGCTAACAGCAAGCTTTTGAAAGATGAGGCACATGACGGGGTTGAAAACTACGAGATGGACCTTGACGATCTTGAGCGAGACATTGCGATCACGGAGTACTACCTCGGAGATGATAGCAGCAGCCGTTCGAGGGGACTCACGTTGGCTTTCGCTAAGCTATGGCGGCTCCCAGCTATAAACACAGTCAAGGTCATCCGAGCTACGCTCAAGACGGAGGAGATCTTGTCGCTAATCTACACCCTACGAGTGGAACTTGTCCGAGGTGCGTGGACATCGCTGTACATCGACCCAACCAGCTTTGACTCCGAGGGTAACGACCCGCCCCCAGACGGTGTGATCACTCTGATCTCGGACCTTCTCGGTCGGTGTATTGATGCCGTTGGCGCTGGAGGATGGTTGTTGAACGATGCCATCTCAAGCGATAAGTCTGAGACAGGCGACCTGTTGACGGCACTCAAGCTTGAGGTGACTGCGGCTCTCGAAGGTCTGGAGGAGGCTGTGTACCTCAACGGCATCGTTGGCGAGGCAGTCCGGTTCGGCCTTGCATCTCAAAAGAGCGGCGCCGGCCGACCATCATGGAACACAAACAACCCAGTTCCCATGAAGTTGGAGGGTCAGGAATCTCGCATGCTGCCGTTGGGCCTCAAGACGAAGCAACTGCCAACCAAGAGCAAGGTTGTGTCGGGCGGCGAAGTGGTGCAGCGAAGCACCCGAGAGACAGGCCAGCTGATCAGCCGCAAGGTGGAGGCATACTCACTCGAGAAGCTAGCGATCTAGAGTTATGGAGAAAAAAGAAGGTTTTCGAAGAAGGCAACCAGAAGAATGCGCTACGGAGGCTCTCACCTGGAGGCACGTTCCCGGTCTGCGATACCACATGGTATGCGGCTGAAAGTCGCAGTATTCATTCTGACGCCAACGGAGCTAGTCCTAGGGCCTTGCTTACGGTGGAGGGGTTCCAGGGTTCGAAGAGTTTATTGGAAGAACATAGGCGAGCCTACGCCCAGGAACGGTGGTGAAGCAGAAAGAGACGCGGGGCAGAGCTCGAAGCTAAGGAGATCGATCGGCTACCCACGGCGCACGTTGGAGCCAAGAGGGGGGTGGGTAGGTGGGTGTTGATGTGTTAATTAGGATCACATGTTGATGAGATTTTGGGTTATCAGACAAAAGATGTTTGTTTACAGCGATCTTGTGAGGTCAGCATAGCAGAGGCAGAGTTCGGTGGCTGCATTTGGCATCTCATCTACCGATGCAGTTGCAGAGAGATAGAGACAGGCGTATCAAAAGAAAGGATGGTTTAATCTCGGCGTCACGGACAGAAACGTGCAACCCAAGCTCGACGGAAGTTGCTTACTGCGTGACATGCAATGCAATAACTACTCGCTTTGAGAAAAGGCAGCCGCATAATTCTGGTTGCTGGTCGCGAGTGTTTCAGAGACGTCGGGATATTGCGACGAGCCACAGAGTACCATTGAGCGGCTGTGGAACCCGAATACCTATGCAGTGTAAGCTGAGGACCGAGCAAGTATCCATGGATTGTGAGGGAATCGGCCTTTCGTTAAGCCCTGCGCTGCGGTTACGTGCAGCCAGCGTGGTGGTGTTCATCAACCATTGGCTCTCTGGGACATGACGTGCTGATCTCTTACAGGAGTGAGTCACCGCGTATATCATGGAGACCCGAAAGTACAGTCTAGTACAATCGGATATCAAAGCCTCGAAAGTAGGTGTCTGTATGACTATCGATCAGCGTCAGAGACTCTCTCTCTCTCTCTCTCAAATGGTTGCCTATTTCTTTACCCAAGTCCAGTGTTGTTGGCCTTGAGTTTACGAGCACAGCCTGGAAATGGGCCAAAGCTCATCGCGGAAGCACTGCCGGCATGGAAGGGTTGTGTAGCTAATGCATGAAGCCGAACTATGTACCAGATGATAGTTACGGCTTGAAAGAAAGGCTGCAGGTAACCGAGGACGTGTTCAATAGGAGTGGAGTACATGAATCGAATCAGGCAAACATTGATGCATTAGTTGGAGAAAAGATATGAGAGAAAAAAAAGAAGACAATTTTCTTTATTTTTACGGGATGCAAGCCCTGCATTGTAGATCGATTTCGGTTCATTCGGTTGGTGGAGATGAGATAGATGTAAGAACCCATTGCATCCATTGCATTGATAGTGGAGAATTGCAGCAAAAGCGACATTCTCACGAGGACATAAACTAGAGGCGAATGAGGAGCGCATTGCGAAACTTTAGTCATGTTCTAGAAGGAAAACGGATGACAAATGGAGAAAGCCGAGAGCCTAGAGACTCAACGTAGCAATAAGCCAAGAGGCCGAGGCCGAGTACGAAGACGTGACTGATGATGATGATGATGATGATGATGATGATGATGATGTCGGCCTTTACCGATGATGTACTGTATCTCAAGTTATTCCCAGCAGTGAGCAAGCAAGCAGGTAAGGGAGAAAAGCAAGCCATGATCCTTGAGGCCCGAGGGAGGTACAGTAAGTACATGTTTATTAAGGAAACTGGTGATGAAATGATAGACAGGAGTCGACCAAGCTGAAACACTTGATCACCCTCTTGTACATGAGGTACTGACTGTAGTGACATGTCCCCTCTCCGGGTAAAGTCAAGGGACCCTGCGACCGTTTGTGTTCAGTTCGTCATTTCGTCTTGTCTAGGTTGTCCTGAGTTTCTTGATGCCGCTAAATGAATTCAGTTTAGGCCTACGAGAATGCCCCACGTTGCGCCCCGTTGCCGAGCGGGTGGCGCAGTACAAGACCCAAGAGGCAAAATCACAAAAAATACGGCGAAACAATGGATAGAGCCAATTACTTACTTGAGCGTCAGAGATCAAACTGAAACGAGAGGTTGAGACTTAGAGGGTGGCCATAGGTACATACATAGATGCAGCTGGCGATCTACCTGATTCAAAGCATCAAATTCCAGTCGCGAACCCTGCAGCGACAGAAGATCTCCAGAGACCAGCCTTGCAAATGCACAAGCGATGATGTAAGGCTGCTAGCGTAGACAGCGGCTACCTACGTCACTAGACCCAGGGCAAGACAAAGACCGGGGACCATTCCCCACTGCTCCCCGGAATTAGGGTGCGGTTACAGGGGCCTATCTATTCCCATTATTGAGGAACTTTCTCTCTTCTCTGTCTGGGAGACAACAATGAGATGGAAGAAAAGAGATGAGATGAAATGGATTCAAAGCACGAGGATGAGTCGGTGAGATCACCGTCACACGAGTAATCGTGCTGAGCAACACTGAGGAACATACAATTGCCCACCAGAAACTTGGAGCGTCTAATCACGAGGACGGTTCGCCAGGTACCCAACTACAGTACTGTCACCCACCATTAGATGGACTGGACATCACCGCTTGTACAGTCACTCACTGTACAATTACGGTTGTCTAAGCCCGAAATCTACACACCCACCACACACATTACATTCCCTACCTTACCCTTCCATCAAGTGACGGCTGTTTCTCTCTGCTCCTACGCCTCTTCCGCGTGCCTGTTCCAGCCAAACGGATACTTACTACCTACGTCTTTGTACCTCTTTCCCCCCAACCTTCATCTGGACTGGGCTTCCATCTCATGGATCCATAACCTGATAAACCATCCCCTCCATCTTCTTCTACTGTAGCATCCAATCTTCCCTTTCTTCCCGTCCCAACCCTTCTACTTTCCTTGCCGCTCTCTTCTTATTTATCCTTGAAAAATATATCCATATTTACCTGCCTTTATTTACTTGGCATCCATCCACCCAACTCTTGCACTTTGACAACACAGCTCTCTCTACGATACCTTACTAACAACTACTCGGGAGAGCCCACTCTTCTTAACCTCTCCAACGCCGACTCAAAAATTATATTATATTATACTACATTACACATTTAGCTTAACATCGCTATCAAAGCTCGCCTGAGCTCAAACAACAAGCCATGAGCGGCGGCTCAACCGTCCAACGCATCGATGCCCTCGATGCCTTCGCTCGAACCCTCTATCTTCGCGCCAAACAATCAGGTCTTCCATTTACTGAAGTCGCGACTGCGGTTAGAAATCTACATATAGCCCTGCGACATCTGCGTATCGAAGCAGCCGACCAAGATTCTGTTCTCAGCACTTTCAAAACCTCGTCCTCGTCCTCGTCCTCGTCCTCGTCCTCGTCCTCGTCCTCGTCCTCGTCCTCGTCCGTCTACAGTCGCCAGCTCGAGCCTCTCGTCGATGACTGTGAATTCACCCTTGGTCAACTTGAGCGTCATCTAGATAAGTATGGCGATGGCCGCGCTGTTATGACAGAAGATGAGCGCCAGCGCGACCAGGAACTCTCCATCATCAAGCATAAACTGGTTGGGGACAAGACCAGTGTAGAGATGTTTCTCGACGCCGTTCAGCTGCATGCCGAGAACAGACCCGCAAGGGTTGTCGAAGGCCAAGAGGGACTTGAGAAAATCAAGGATGTGGTTGACGAAATCGCCACTAAACTATTCCGAAACCGCAACGAGGGCAGTTTTACTGAAGACGAGGATGGTCTCTGGCGTGAGTTCAAGATCGAGCTCGAAGCTCAAGGGTTCTCCCCCCAAGTGCTACGCAAACACAAAGTACGTGTTGATCAAAATCTCCCTTGTAGATCGTTACGACTAACACAGCGTCAGGATGTTCTACGAGCATACGTTCGCGAGCTCGAGTCCGTTCAGAACCAGTACGGTGGTAACTATCCCACCGTGAGAGGTCTCTTGGAGCATGAAGCAAGATCACAGCCCACCTCGCCCCAAGAGCTCGACAGTAGTCCTTACAGAAAATACCCACCCGTTATTATCACTGGTGGGCGAGGGCGGTCAAACAGCGACACCGCGCGAGAGCCTATTTCATCGTCCCCAAGAGATGGAGACAATGAATCTGACTACTCCATGGCAATGGTGTCGACCCAGGATCTCCTCGCCATGGATAACTTCAACACGCGAATGGCAAATCTGACTGTCCAGGGCAACGACCAGTACAGTTTGTCTCCTGGACATAGACAGATGCCACCAAACAGTTTGCCAGATGTTCCAGAGTTATCGAGTTCCCCAATCACACGCCACATTGAGTCGTCTCCACGCTCCATGCCCCCTATGCCTCATTCTATCAGTAGCAGGCCCCCCTCTTACGGGAGCAGTCCCCGGAGCAGCGCTCCTCGGCTTGCACCTGATCGATGGGGTAATGAGATTCCTCCTGATGCTCAGTGGACCAGAATTAGACGGGAGCTAGTTAGCCCCGAAGTCCTTGAACGAGCTGGCGTGCGCTATGAAGCTCGCCCAGACTACGTTGCAATCTTGGGCCGTTTGACTCGAGAACAAGTGTCTGAGTTCGCCCGTGAAAGCGCTGCCTGTCGAGCTGCTCGTTCAAGACGTGGTCCTCCGCCTCGCAAGCACGACCACCACTCTGAGCGGCGCGATTCGAAGAGTAGCCGGGAAGACGATGATGATGATAGCGGAGTGTTTGACGAGACCGATACCTCAGACGATGAGGAAGACAAGTCGTATGAGAAAGGAACCAAGAGTTATCCGTATATCGTCAATCCTCCCACAAAGAACCCGACATCTCCTTCGAGCACAACAATGCCGAAGCCAATTCTCAAGAACAAAAACGAAAACCACGTGCGCTTCGACCCAGAGCCGTACGAGGTTGACGCCCGAAGTCTCCGATCATACAGGGATGATCGCCATCGTGATCGTGATCATGATCATCATCGTGAGCGCCGGCGACAGAGCCCTACCAGATCATCGCGACGTTCGCGAAGATACTCTGATAGTGCAGATCGCCACTCACGAAGCGATAGACACGGCGACTATTACTACGACAGCGGAAAGCGGTACCATCGCGAGAGAGATCGTGATCGTGATCGTGACCGCGACCGTGAGCGGGATCGTGACAGAGATCGCGATAGGAGAAGCACCAGGAGGGAAGATCGCCCTCAAGGAAAAAAGAAATGGGGTGAAGCTCTTGGCGCTGTTGGCATTGGCGGTGCAGCAGTGAGCCTTTTGAGCGTCCTCGCTGAAGCAGCATCTTGATTTTTAACGGGCTGGTTCCGTATCAAATTACCCTTTCACTTCCCTTTGTCATTTCCTTACTATAACTTTGGTTTCCGTGCTGCGTTTTTGGATATGTAACAAAGCCAATTGTAAGATGGACTGGATCACAGAACAAGATGGGAACAGAGAAAACAAAGGAAAAGAGTTTGACATTTTTGTATACCTTGTTGGAACTTATGTATGTAGTTATACCACGGATGGCATGTATGTCTCCGACAGAGACTATCAGGAGACTATGGCAGGATTAGATACCCACGATAAGATGACACCAGAACATAGCAGTTATGAATCATATTTTGTTATCAATTGCTATCCTTGCTTATGTCAAGTTGACTACCACGATTGACGAATGAACCACCTATTAAGTGAAGACAAATGCTTCTTGACTCGCTACGCTAAGTCTATGATGCATGGCATCTAGATGACTATAGTCTAGGTCTATAACCATTACCTTATATCTACACCATCAACTCATCTTCTAAATTCTTCCACCACTCCAACTTGTCCACGGCTGTCCTCTCGGGCGCAGGCCCCTTCGCACGGGGTCTCGCCCGCGGTTTACGCCTCCATTGGAGGATCTTCATCTCGGGGTCTCTGGGCCAGTTCTCTTTGCGCTCTTCGTAAGTTTCAGCCTCTTCAACCGCGCCCTTGCTCACCATCATCTGCGTTTCCACACCGCCCTTTAACTGAGGCAGTGTTGTTCGTAAAGATGTAACCCATTTGAAGCGTGGCAACTCGACTGAGCGTTCCAGGCATACGTAGCCTTGGGAGGTACGATAGCGTATCTGGTCGTGTAGAAATTCGCTGAATTCTGTGATGATATGTGGTATGGCAGTGGTTGCAAAGTTGCCCTTTCGCTGGCGACTGTTCTTGGAAGCGGCACTGAGCAGATTTTCCAGGCATTTTGCGATCTGGTACCAAGCGTGCTCCTTTTGTGTTTCGATTGTTCGGCGGCTGTGGCTGGGCTCCGAGGCTTCCTGGAGAACGTCGTCAAACACGCTTTGTAGTTGCTTTTTCTCAAGCTGACGGTAATGTGGAACAGCATGGTCGCGTATCATATTCAATGCCGAACTGAAGGCCTGTTTGAATATAAGCGAGTTGATGTAGACGATGTAGTTTTCGAACGAAGGCTCGACGTTGTAAGGTTCTGAAGTCATTGTTTCCCAAATCTCGGTAAACGTTGATGGAGTCACGTTTGAAGAGGGAGGAAAGAAATACATGAACCGACGCTGACGCTGATTTGATTTAACTCCACAAACATAGGCCCAGTTGAGGAGATTACACCATGTTTCGCGTGGAATGGGTATTTGGTAGGCGTTAGAGACGTGGATGAGGAGCTGGCATGCCAGCCGAATGCGCATCATGGACCCAAATGCTTCGACGATAGCATTCAGCAGACGCTCAGTGGGAGCTCGTGGATTGCCCGGACGAAACGCCTTGGAACCATTGATGGTGAAGGTGCCGGTATTTTTGTCTTCTATTAGCCCGATACCGAAACCTCGTTTGAGGACAATGCCTCGTATGTGTTGGAACGAGCCACTGCGAGCGAATGCAATCAGAGTGGTACAAAGCAGTTCCTCATTGAGTAGAACACCAGAATTCTTGCTGCGGCGCCAATGCGCGAAGTAACTTTGGTAACCTGTCTTTTTGCGTTTCCATAACATGTTATCTGCCCATAGGCGATGCCGTTGACGATTGAAAGGGGTCATCCCAAGGGCGTTCCGGCTGTGTCGGAGACTTTCCAGTCGCTTAAGATTGTTGAGAGGCATCCTGAAAAATATTTTGTACCCCTCACGAGGCTTATAAAGGACTCTCTGTCGGTGATACTGGTAGTAAACAGGATCGGTCATGTAGCGAGCCTTGAAGAACTCGTTCCAAGTTCTCGTGCTGCGCTTTGATCCCAAGCCGTCGCGTTGCATTGCACTGAAAAAGTAGGCAACATCTGTCAAATCTCCAGCAGCGCCGGCGCAACGGATAAGGACCTCGAAGTCAGAGAGGACAAGGTTACGGCCTCCATCACGACGAGCTTTGAAAACAATCTTCAACGCGTCAAGGACAAAGCGATGCTGGTACCGTACGCCGAATTTGTCTACAAGGAAGTGTGCGTTGGTGAACTGCATTTCGCCAGGAGAGACGGCGATATCGTGTGCAACATCGAGATGTTTGTTTGCAACGGGGTCAAGTGCTCGAAGAATCTCAGAGAATGTTGCAACAGGAAGCCCCGCTAGCTCTTGAAGAGCTGCGTTGGCGACCTCAGCATCATCGTTGACCAACGATTGGACCCAGGTTTGGAAGGTTGGGAGGATGTGACCAATGTCTTGACATCGTATAGCTTTGAGCAGTGCGTCCAAAGGCGTGGGACGGTGGGTAGAGTTTTCGCCTGGTGGTGCATTGCCTCGATGATGCGCAAAAGTCGAAGTCGAGGTTGAAACCCAGGGAGATATTGATGCTAACCATCGTCTTCGACCCACCTCAGCGGGTCGTTGGTGTATTAGCGAGGAACCATAGATCCGTAGCGCGAAAGCGAGTGGAGATGTCGATGAGGGATCAAGACGGGTCCGTCTTAGGAGGGAATGTCGCCAAAGCATGGCACTGAGGTTGTCGCGAAAAACAGAAAAAACAAAAACATGAGAGAAATAAAAGACGGGCAAGATGATGAAGGTGGAAGGCCTCGGATGTAACTGAACGTGTTAACACCTCCTCTTTCAACGCGAGGGGAGGGGTCTTTGGCTGCCGTGTAACCCAAATCGGGAAGGACCACATATGAGCCGCACTGCTTAACTGCATCAAAACATGGGGTAAAGTATGGCCTAGATGCATTCGCTGCCGTTGTGGCTTACTGCATAACGTACCTAGCTATTTCTCCGAGGATTTCCCAACCCTGCCAATTCCGTTTTCTCACTGAGTCGTCCTTGCTGCATATCCAGCCCAGCCCAGCCCTGCCCAGCTCACAGCTACACTCACCGAGACGAACCTATCCCAGTCAATAACTATCACAAACAACCATGGCTGACACAGGCGAAGAGCCTCATCACGTTTCGGAGCCTCTCGACCTTGTTCGACTCCTTCTCAACGAGGTTGTCTTTGTCAAGCTTCGAGGAGACCGTGAGCTCAAGGGAAAGCTACACGTCAGTTAGGCCTGTGACTACTTTGATCAAGGAGATGCTGACCATAGACAGGCTTACGACAGTCACTGTAATCTGGTGTTGGGAGAAGTCGAGGAGACCATCTACACTGTGGATGAGGACGATGACGATGAAGAACTCAAGGTATGCGGGGTTCTGAGACTGATCTGAGTCGATTCTAACTGAAATTCAGACTATCAGCCGGAAATCTGAGATGTTGTTTGTGAGAGGTGAGTCGATCTGAGGTTTGGTCATTTCTACATATTAACGTCAAGTTAGGCGATAGTGTTGTCCTTATCTCACCTGGGGTTCCGTTCTAACTAGAAGGGATACAAAGAACCATAACACCCTGCACTCACTCAAATGTGCAAACGCTGTCTCAGAAGCAACTCTTCCCGTTGCGTCATACGACAGCCTGAGGCACGAAGCTGCTCAAAGCATCCCGAAAGCAGCAGCCCAAGGCTGTCTTGATACCAGTATTTAGGGTTCAATATCTTACAGCATCACAACCCTTGAGCCACATTTTGTTCCAGCAAAAGCCAAGGCGAAGTGAACAAGTGGCTCCTATTGCCGGAAAGCTCACCCTGACAGATTTAGCTCAAAGTTTAGTTAGATAGAGCACTGATATCACAAAAAAAGATTGATGCAAAAGCCCATGTCTAGTTCGCATCCAATACAGCCTTCCGACACCGGCATATCACAATTTATTGTCTAGTTCAGGATACCCCTTGGTGAAACTGTGGTTCTTCATGGCATTTTAAAAATCAAAATGCCATTCTAGCAATACATGCATTTGAATAAACGCTACAGTAACGAGAGACAGACCTAACAGCATATCGCGACCAACTAGACTATTCAATAGTCTTAGAAAACAACAAAACGCCATACCCTTGTCCTTACATGGTATCGTGACAGCCGTAGGCATGATGCCTTATGGCGGTTTCCCACAAGCGCTTCAAGCACCTACTTTAACCTCGGAGTTAATGGGCTGCTTATCCTTCTCTCCGTCCTTGTTGGGCATCAATGGATGATTTGGGTCGTATCCAACAGACTTGACAATACCAAGACCCTTTGTGCGGCCTTCGCGGAACAGGAGTCTGTCACCTGGTGCAAGATACTCAGGGCGTTGAACGAAGCGGAAGGCGACAGTTGCGCGATCTCCTGTGCGAATGAGCGCTCGGTCAATGTCGATGATGGCACAGGTTTGGGAGACAGGGCCGACGTGAAGCATGGCCTGGTACTTGGTCTTGATAGTAGTGGCATGTGAGAGAATAAGAACTGACAATGTTAGTGTGGCTCATAGTGGAATTGCCCTGAATACCTACCCTCTGCAACAAACTCGCGGTGCACTTTTGGCATCACCTGGCCTTCGACCCGGGGCAGAAGTACCATGCCCTTGCGCACGTCCTTGCGCTTCACCTTCTTCAAAGCGAAAGAAGCAGACTGTCCAGCCGATGCAGCGGGGACTCGTATCCTCTTACGTTCAATTGACTTGACAGAGGTTGGTGTGAACTGGCCCAAAGAATCAGGCCCGATGAGAACATTGTCGCCCTCATGAATGACACCAGACTTGATGATGCCCGACACGACAGTACCTGAGAAAGGAACCGAGAAGGTGTCATTGACGTGGAACTCGAATGGAGCATCCGAGTTATAGCGTCCGTGATGGGGAAGAATGTTCAAGAACGTCCTGACCAGATCAAGATTCTCCCCTGTAACGTTGGAGACGAGGAAGACAGGGCATATCCGTTGACTGACAAACTGAGTCGCTGTATTTATGCATTCCTCACGAGTCTTGATGAAAGTTGGTATCTTTCGAGCTCCGGGGCTCTTCATTATCTTGGTGATCTGGGTCAATGTCTGCTCCAGAATGTTGGGAGGACAGATATCGATCTTGGTAACGACAACCATGACTGGGACGTTGAGAGCCAGAGCAATGCCCAGATGCTCTTTGCTCATGCCAATAAGGCCATTGTTCGCCGCCACCATCAGAAGACAATAGTTTGGACTGCTCGAGAGCAGCCCGAATACTGTCGTTCGAAGATACTTCTCGTGGCCGGCCAAGTCAGTGAAGGTGATGACCTTTGCGCTCCTCTTGCCAATTTCTTCCCAAGACAATTTGCCTGTAGAATGTCAGTATAGCCATCCGTGCCAGTTAACAATCACTTTGACATACGCCCAGGGGTGTCAGAGGTGACGACCTTGCCCGTAGTGTCGAAGCCCATTATCTCCATGCCAACCGAACTGGTTCGTCCTGACTCTATTTCGTGCTTGTGCCGGAAGAGATTGACGCGAGCTTTGCCTCGTCCATCATCAAGATCTCCCTTTACGAGCACACCCAGCATAGAACTCTTGCCTGCGTCGACTACAATGTGTCAATAGTGGTACTAAGCAGGTAGATGTTGGAATAACTCACCATTCCCTACCACCGCTATCCGGGTTTCAATCACATCCTCTATTGTAGCGGGATTCTGGCGGATCAGAACCTTGCCGCTGCAGCTCTTGTCTTTGGTAGGCTTGTCGGTAGTGCTCTGGGCCTCGAGGTCGCCACCGACATTCTTGGTTAACAACAGGTCACAGTCGGCGCGCACTCCTTTTGCTGCTTCCTGAAGTGTCTTGAACGCCTGATTCCATTGATCGAGGGTCAGGTTCATCGACTCGCCATGATTCTCGTATCCGATCTCGAAAACGCATTCGCCGAATCCCTCATCTAGTCGGTCGGAGAGGATTTCCTCCAACTGCTTCGATTTGTCCTCAGTTGATCCAAGCAGAAGGTCCTTGAGAGGCACTCGCGGTGCTGATTCCGCAAGGTCGAGGTTATCGAATAGCTCATCGAGCTCCTCGTGGTGTTCGGTATTTGTGTCTATTATCTCGGCTGCGTCCGTCGCCGTTGTCGTTCGTGCGGTCGGGTACCGTAAGTTCTGCTGTTGCTCTACATAATCCGCGAAATCGCTGAGCGCCTATATGTCAAGCATTAGTATAGACATCGGGGTATCCCAAAGATAGACGAACCGATTCGCCTTTGCGCTTCTCGTGCGCTAATGGCTTCGTCGACATTATGACAAGACTTGTAAGATGCCAAAATAAACTCAGCAAAGGCTCCCGTAAGCTTATGCTGAGTTGCTTAAGTATTCTTGTCGTTTAGGATAAAAGTCCGAAGGATGGCTTGCCTCCCCTGGTGATGTCATGCGATTTATGGTATGGAGTATTAAGTGATCAGGGAGATTGAAGGCCAGCGAAGTATTTAAATAATTGAAAGTGATTCTCAAAAAAGCTGCGCCACGTCTCGGTCTGACTGTTTTGAAGTTTTGAATTCAGAAGAGTCATAGACAATCAAAGTTATAAGTTTAAAGGTAGCACCTGATGCGCGGGTGGTTACTCAACGCCGGCAGGCACACAAGGGGTAGCAAGAAAACATAGGACGTTTTTTCTACGTGATGAAAATGATTAGACATGTTCAATGCGCCAGTGCAAGTCTTTAGATGAGTTTATTTTAGTACCCAAATTTAATATTAGAAGTTTTCTTTCTACTCAAAGAGCACTCCACACTACTCTGTCTATCGATAAGAGCTCAATCTGCACGCACGGGCCTCTTGAGACCAAATCGGTTGGATGGCGTCTCAAGCCGCATTCATCTATCGGGGTTCTAAAAGCGCTATGGCTCAAAGCTTAGACTATGACATCTCCACGACATAACTATGTCAAGCTCGTCCACTGAAAGCTCCCAATTAATTAAAGCTTTTGGAGGGCAATATACACAGGCTTAGCAAAGATGTAATGACTCAGCTAATAGCCTTATTTCGCAGCTATCTTAGGTATAAGAAGTTGTACTTGGAATGCTCCGAGTCTATCATCTTATCCTGCGTACTAGTCTAACTAGTACGCCTGAACACCAGCTATCAAAGGCTGTCTGTCCTGCACGGGCATTGAACCTCCATTACCACGACAGGCATGAAATACACGCCTTGGAAACTTCACCAGCTCCTGAATAGCTGCTTCATTCCCAAAATTCATCTCCAGATAGATGCAGACCGCCAGCCCCTCTACCACCGATCTCCTCTGCATCCACCATGAGCTGTGCGCCGCTGCTTTGGTATACCACCATGCCAGCAAAACCATAGCCTTGGGGTCCTTCTCCTCCAGCAGCTTTCTATACCGCGGGTCCAGCTGCGTTAAAAAAGTGAGAAAATGGATGACTGTATTATCATCGATCCTTCGGGGAAGTAACTGTGCGAGCAGCGACGCAGCCACATGATATGGGTTGTTCTGAGCTGTAGAAGACGGCCCAATGTCAAAGGCCTCGTAGAACATAGTCGGAAGGGCACCGGGCGGGATGGGCCTAGAACCATCAGGGATGCCATCCCATTCTTTGAGCAACTGATGAAAAATACTATCCTTCCTCGTTGGGTCAGCGATTTTCCATACAGCTTTCTTCCCGTCACTCATTCTCAACCAGTCAAGATCAAGAGAGTCGGATTTCTTGAGCGGCCATACTCCATACACGTCTTCAGCATCCAAAAGGGCCATCGAAGCTGCGCCGAGAAGAGCTCCTGAAGCCCAGAGGGAGTCGCGTTCAGAGCCAGAGAGTTTTGACACATCACGGGCCGACCCTGCTGCCATGAGACGGCGGTGGAAGAGGGCAGTGGCTTGATACCAGTGGAAGGCGAGTGCTGTACGGTGAGAAGATGTTTGGCAGGGGTTTAGATGCTGATCATGAAGAAGAGCCAGAGCAATAAAGACATGCATGAGAAAAGGATGCTATATATTTCAGTGTCAAATACGAAAAAGGAATTGGCGAATACTCACCTTCAATCCTAGCAGAAACGCGCCTTCGCTGTAAACACTTCTCGTCTTCTGTGTACCAACAGAGAACACTGTCCTTAGTCGAAACCTCTCAATGGCCGCCAGGGCAGCATCGTCTAGTATAATCTCACCGGCACCGCCCTTTACAGGCTGGATGACGGGGACTCTGAAACCAGGGTTGATAGGACCGAGAGACTTATTGACGACTGAGAAGACTGGCCCTGCGCTCTGGTGGGCGAGTTGAAAGGACGAGGGGGATAACTCAGTGAATGAGCAGACGAAGCCTGATGAAGTACAACGTTTACATGATGGTTTTGATTCATCGCACTGATAAGATGTTAGCGCTGAGGTGATGTGAAGCGTATGACTGAGATACGGAGTTGGTGGACAGAGTTGCAGCCGATCAGCTCACCTTCACACTCCTTAGTTTGCAGTTCTTACATCCGAGACGAGACTTCTTGTGAGCCTTCCGCTGTCTCACTGGCATCTCTTTACCAGTCTTGTCTTCACCTCTTACAGCCATTGTGTCCTGTTCCATGAGAGCAAACTGATTAGCCAAGACGCATCTCGCCGGAGTTACCGGAAAGGGCCTCGCTTACTTGAGACAGGGCAAAAATACTCTCAAGACTTGTTCTTAAAAAGTTATTGGCGATTAAGTACTCATCAGATTGATAGCCAAGAGATGTTAGTTGACGATGAGTCGTCCTACCGCTTGGGCGACATGCCTCGATTTAGCGCTTACGAACCGGGCTTTCCGTGAAATAACCAATGAGCGGAATGGACCCTGAACATCACGGCTCGACCCTTCAACGATCTTCATAACATCCTTTGATAACTGTCTATTTACATCCAAACAAGGTGCATATTCAACTCGCTTATCTAACATGGAACGGACCAAATGGTAGCACAAAAACCCATATCGGGCTATATATTGATAGTGTCAAGGAAACGATGTGGTATCGATACGTGGTTATGCGTTCATCCAACGCATATGTCCTACCCCAAAATCCAAGGTATATCCTCCCTTCCTTCGCTTAAATGAATACTGAGTAGCTGGCTTGCATGACATCCTTTTCCTCTTTGTTAACGCCTGGCCCTTGAAACGTGCAGCAAGATGTAACGCCATCCAGTCCTTATCCATTCCAGCCATGCCAAATGCAACCCATATGCTTGATTGTTACAACCTTTAGACAAAACACAAACAAATAAAAAACACGTAAATGCCGTAAAATAGCGTAGACGCCAATATATACTGTTGACAAGCTCAAGCTGAGTATGTCTTTATAGAGTATCTCTCTCCTATCATATCCAAACACAGACGGCCAGTGCTCTTCACACTGCCCGCCCAGCTCGGGCGCGGAGAGCATTCATATCGAGTTGAATGGTGGGTCGAGAAATCTCCAGACTTCGACTTGGCATCCTTCGGCCTCCAGGGGTTCGAGGGTTGGCGACATTGACACGCCCAGTTCGGTCCAGAATTCTAGGTGGAGAATCATCAGGATCCGACTCTGAATCCTCATGTCCCTCAAAGCCTGCGTCGGCCAATCGTGCAAAGTAATCCGCCAAACCGTCGACACTGGGGGTTCCGACCACAACATCGTACTGTGGTGGAGGAGTCATCACAGGCTCAGGTACATCTGTGACAAGCTCGGCAGCAGGAGGTGGCGCAATATCGTCTTCGAAGGCGGGAGGGTTGAAGCTTGGAACTCTGAGCAGATGGATCGGGCGAGGCTCTTGTTGTCCACTAACGCCATCCGCCAAATGGGCAGCCTGTGGTGGCGCTGGAAGGTTCTCGGCGTTAGGGTTAACACCGGGTAGTGAGCCTTCTGAAGAACTAGGCGAAGCATCGGTGGGAACGGTGAAAGCATCGGGGCATCCACAAGTAGACTGATAAGTGGTGCCGTTGCAGTTGGCGCCTGAATAAGCAGGAAGATTAGTGTTGGCGTGAGTGGCACGGCAGTTGAGAACAGTGAATGGCGAATCAATGCTGATCTCGAAGTGTCGGCGCTTTGTGCCACTGGGATCCTCAGGATCGATACGGCTGATTCGCATAACAACCTTTGAAACGGTTAGTTGCTGGCTCAAAATCTATTATCAAACAACATACCTTGATCCAATGGAAGACATTGACATTCTTCCAGCTGCAGTCAGGGTTGAGTCGTAGCTCCTTGTTCTTGGCCATCATCTCACATGTAGGAATCTGCACATTGGCTTCAATTTCTGTTGAACCCCAGATGGTCTCGAGTCCCAGATCCAGGTCGCCCAGGAGGTTAGCCGAAGGCTCAGGAAGGGGCTCAGCCGTGGTCTGTCTTCGGGCAGCATCTTGTGCGCGTCTTCGAGCCGCTGCTTCACGAGCCTCTCGTCGCTGCTCAGGGTCGAGTTCGCCGCCGCGAAGAGTTCGGATGTCGGATGAGGCGTAGGACGAATCGAGAGGCTTTCCGGCAGACTTTTCGAGTAGCAAGATCTTGCGGCCTGGGTCCTTACGTGTTACACGCTTATCGTTGGTCCAGTACTCAATCGATTCCGTTACATAAACCTTGAGCTTATGTACCTGAACCTTGGCAAGTGGTGTAAGTTTAAAGGCAATGGGGATTTTGCTACCGATAGGAAAGCTCTTGCCCGAGATAACAATATCATAGTGCAGCTGGTCTTCCCATTGGCGACTAATAGAAATGGGTTCTGTCATCTCCAGGGAGAGTTGATCAGGCACGCGAACAATAGACACTTCCTTGGTGCCATGAAGGTTAGGCTTGAAGGCTCCAGCTCGGTCAACGGTGGCATGTAATTCCCACTTAACAGATCCATACTGCAGCTTGGTTGTTTCTAGCTGGTGGTGGTCGATGGGTAGTTCAAAAGTATAGTCATAAGTACCAGGGTAGAAGACCTTGTATCCCTTGGCTTGTGTAGGAGTGGCAATAGGACTGTCACCCTTTTGGAAACTTCGCGACTGGACGCTTTGCAAAGATAAGCGCTTGATTTCTTTGGCAGAAAGGTTATTTTGATGCGGGGTCAGAGATGATGATGGGTTGGGGCGGACGAGGTTTGTAGAGCTGCCATTAGGAGAACTGCTCTTGAGGCGATAAGTGCATTGATTGCCATAGTCGGACTCCCAGCCGTCATTCATGGCATTAAAAAATGTAAGTACTTGAGTGCGCAGGCTCTCCTCTTCGAACACATCTTGTTTGAGGGGAGGGATGCCTTCGGGCCACTCAGTGCGAGCACGGCCAAGAAGTTTGAGTTGAACGGCTTTGATCTTGACGTTTTTTGTGACTCGCAGTTGAAGTTTGCCTCTTAATAAAGCGGTACCGCTCTGGCCTTCGCGGTGACCGTGGCCATCATGATCAAAACCTGAGAGAAAAATGTTTGGCTCAGCGAGAAGAATTGAGCATGACACGCCACTGCCGGAAGCAACGGGTTTCGGCAACTCAGAGACTGAAGTGACGGCAGATTTTGATGAGCGAGCAGACATGAAACTGTTACGATTGGGGTTGGTCAACGCCAACGACGGATGCGAAGATCGTGCAGTCGCCATTGTTGCGGCGGCGGCTGATTGTGTCTGGTTATTGCTGCTGGTGCTGGAGTTGGAGTTGCAATTGGCAGAATTGGAGTTGTTGGTAACAGGCGCTACAGTGGATGCAGAGGCTAAGTCAATACCAACAGGTGCCGCGGAACCGGGGCGTGAGCTTATGTCGTCATATGCTGGCGGGGATACACCTGCCCCAGTAAATCTCGACCCAATCGCAGACTCGCCGGGAAGGTCCAGGTCCAATTGGCACGACTGACCAATTGAGTGGCCTGTATTCGAGGTCCTTGTACTTGGTCTTGCTGGACTTGAAATAGCGCTCACACTTTGCCCAGTTGAGCGGTCAATACCTGTGCTCGTCGATAGCGCTTCGGCTGCTGAGAGACCCGAAGTATCAATGCCTGCAGATACTGAGTTTGATGCCGATGAAGGTTCAGAGCCAGAGTCAGGGTTCGTAAAGGTAAATGAGTTCAGGAGCTTATCTCTGCGGCGTACGGCGGCACGAGGGTTGAAGCTTTTCTTTCTCCGGCTACTGCTTACACCGTTGCTGAAGTAATCGCTGGTGCTGTTACTCGCGTTGGACGTGTTAGTAGCAGTCGGTTGCAACGAAGGTGCGCGTCGAGGCTCGACAAGCAGTTCAGGTGATTGAGGTCTGCTCTCTGCTCGTAGTTCTCGTGGAACGTATCCCGAGGGATAGCTAACGATGTGAATTGCTTGGGGGCGAGATCTTCGGGGACCGATTAACGGCGCGGGAAATCGACCAGCCGATACAGACTTCTTCTTGTTGAGACGAGGTCGATAGTAGATGTTTTCGTGAGAAGGAACCCAAGCGGATCGACGCTGTGGTGACTCAGGGACTGAAGCTGTTGTTGTCATGGCGGTTAACAACTGTACTCTGGTGTACTACACTGAAATGATTTGAACGATGACGAGGCCAATAAAGCCAAGAGAAAATGCGGGTGGTGCCAGCCAAGGAGCGAGAATTAAGAATGCAACGCAAAAAAAGTAGTGGGTGTAAAAGGATGATGTATGCAAACGCAAGCGCAGGAAGTGGAGGTATGCGCTCAGATGCTTTCAAAACAAAGAGCAGAGCAGTGTAAGACGTAGACACACGCAGAATAGCAATTTGTGAGTCTAGCACGCGCGTAAGGGAGGGACAAGGCTGGTTATAAGCCAAGAATAAGACAATAACTTGAATTTGAATGTGAATGTGAACATGTGAGCGGGACCATACCCAGGTCTAATAGATCCAGGGCGTTATATTGGAGATGAGACGAGGGTGATGGATTAGAATGGAATACAAGGGAGGGGGGCCAACTAAAGATGAGCACGAGTAAATAAAAACGAGACGGTGTGTTGCAGTGTTGAAGCAGCGGTGATGAGATGGGTCTGGTCTGGTCTGGCCTGGCCCGGCATCAGAAAAAAGAAAGAAAAAGCACAGGACAACAAAACGGCAGTGCTCATCAATTGCCCAAGTAAATAAATTCATGCGCTGGCATTGGATCCTGAAGTTGTCGATGTCCCTACCCAGGCTTGCATCCCGCCCAGATTTGGGCACTAGACTCTGCGCCTAGAGGCGTCAACGGACCAGGATTAGGAAGGGTCACGCCTTGTTCTGGCGGGCGGTTGGCCGCAGGCAGTGGGGATGATGCTGATGCGCAAGGACGTGGACAAGGAACAGGAAGAGGGTGGAGAAACAGGGCAGAGGATTACGGGACTGGGGATGGGGACTCAAGAAGCAGGGGCTGTTGATTTGTATGTATTGTTGGCGTTGTATTGTGCAGAGCAGAACACCTTATGAATGGCTGTGAGGAATGCACATATCACCAGGCAGAAGAACTAGCGGTGATGGCAGAGGGCGATTTGCAGCAAAAAGACGATGAAGGAAACACTCAACACCCATTATCCTGCTTTTCTGACAGGTGATCGACACTGTTGCAGGTGCAGTATCTATGCAAGATTGTCTGAGATTGATGCTATCCGCTTTCATCCCACTTGGGACTGAGTACATGATTCAATATCAAGACTATTGATGAATCAAGTAAAAGACACACAAACAGGGCGTGTGACTGAAGATCAAGGCATAAGATGAGAGAGAAAAACCACCGATTGCATTGGATACGAATATTCAGGCGAGAAAGATAAAAATACGTACCTTTTGCAATTGTGCTAAAACATGGAAATCCGAAACATCAGATTCAAGGGATTCGCTTGTGGCTAGTGCACCTGTAGCCTCTGACGCGAAGACACCAGCGGTGATGAGAATTTGAGGCCCCGGCAACCCTGGTCTGGTCTGATCTCTCGCTTCTCCGTTTCTGTTTCTGTGTCGCCTGAGATTCTGGAGACTCTTAGCTCAGCTCAACTCAGCTCAGCTCAAGCTCGGCCTGACGATGGTGAGTTAACAAGTGCGTTCAAGGCGGCTGAGGCGGAGGAGAACAATGAAAGACACAGCGGGGACAAGAAGAATAGGATCCTTAATAAACCAAATCTAAGAATAAGAAAGAAATCGTCGGGCGCCAACGCCAATGCCAAACGGATGAGAAGCACGGTTCACTTGAGGCTGTTGGGCTGAAGTTTGAGACCGGCCAGAGCGAAATAGACAAGCGAGAAGAGAACCTGGCCAGATCTGGGCTGGTTGAACGGGAAATGAGACGAGAGGTATAGGAAAGTTGGACGTCGGACAAAAAGCAGGAAACCAACAGGTAAATTAAGTTAATACGTACGAGTTGAGGTATGTAACAGGAACAACCAAGGTAACGAGCAAATCAACTTGGGGTCTGACAAGGAACAGGAACTGAGGTGACCTAAAAGGGCGACAGCTGTCCCAGACAGGGTTTCTTGTACCGCTCGAGAAAGACACTGCACTAAAAAGATCTTGATGGTGGTGGTGGTGGTGATGATGCAGTCATAGCAGATCGAGACAGAGGAGCACACAGATGGGGGCGGCAAGAATGTGTGAGAAAGAACAAGGAAGAGAGAGAGAGAGAGAGGCGTTATTATCTACGTGCCATGTCTGAGCGAGTCTGACCTTGGGGTAATTATATTGCCTCGAATTGAGGTCATACCATGGAATCTAAGCCACCCTTCCGAGGAAAACACTCAGACAGACTGCCCGTGCTATCCGAGGAGCAGTTTCTACAGTACAAAAAAAGCTTCATCAATGCCTCTCGCTATTGAGAGAATACCTTAACGAGGGAGCTCCGGAGGCTGCGGAGCCCAAACCCCGTACGATTGAATGGGGTTCGCTACTTTCGGTGACGCGGCACCAGGCGAAACCCTGTCTTTAGATCCAAAGGCTTTACTCTTTAGAGATGCAGATAGAGTAAGGGTCCTTGTTTAAGCCCCGAAAACGGACTACGTAATGTCTGCTGCGGTCGTGACATGGCATGTGCCGAATGTATAAACTCATGCCATCACCATATCCTAGTCTGACTGTGACAGCCTCCGCTTTGTCAGAGTCACGGTCACTGTCACTGAGAAGAGATCCGAGAAAACTCAAAACTTGAAGAACTAGACAAGAGAGGAATATTCGATGATTGATCAACACCAACGAAGAGTGTGACTGTAAGTTGGTGGCCGTTCCGGCCCCGAAACAAAAGAACGACTCCACTAAAAGAATCCCAAGATCTTAGGGTCCATCCATCTGGCGGGAGATGACACAACAAAAGGTCAGCACATTGCATATTACACATCACATATTGCAGATGAAGTGCTTGCTGTACTTTTCCCATTGACATCAGAATCGTAGTCTGTGGGTTCCGGCTTCACTCTGAGCTCATTCCAATACGAAGGTCTCATTCCGAGGAGCAGATTTATGATGTTAGTACCGGCAGTATGACAAAGAGCCTCAACCCAATCCGAGAATTTTCTCTCATCATAGGAAAAAAACTCAAAAGTTTACAGGGTGCTCACCGGGATCATGCAATCGATCGAGTGGACAGAAAACATGGGCTGTGTGGAGTGGTAAATAGATGCACAAATCATCCGTCATTCACAGCAAGCAAGGATTCTTTTTCTTCTCTTCTTCTTTTTCTTTTTCGGTTACACGAAATGCCGAAATTGATCCATGATGCCGACAATTATCTTGCCCGGCTTGGAAATGCCGAGGCGATACTTGCGAGTTTTATGCACAGCTGAATGAGGCTTGATATCTCGCCCTGTTTCTAGCTTACTTGTGCATTTGGTATGATATGATTCCAGTGCATCTTGGAAATATCGCCGGAGGTAGCTCCGTATAATGAAACCCGCCTGTTGCCGTTTCATTTCCGGTTATCTGATATAATAAACAACTTCATTCTATGAGGAATCACACGATATGAAATTATAATTCTATTTCTATCCAAAGTGAACGGTTTCTCATCAATGAACGGCCCTTGAAGAGCCTAGTTTCATGTCAAAAAATTTCTTGGTCATGAAAGACCCTTACTCCTGAGGCTCGTGCATTCAATGGTGAGGCAGTGGTTCCAGTTTGACGACCAGGCCATTAACGCTTAGATTAATTTAAACATGGCCTACGGGTAGAAACAGAAGCTCTTGCGATTCAGTAACTCAACTTTAACGATGAACCGTGAATTTGCGCTCGGGAGTTGTAACGGTCCACAGAGAGCCCTGGCTTGCCAACTCAGCGCTGATCGTCAACTCTAAAAGATTCCCTGGATGTAACGTTCTACAAGCCTCGTCTAGGCTTTCTTTTTCGTACCTATGTAAATACCCAACAGCGTCGTCCTGGCAGCGATGAGTTGTCACCTTTCAGCTGGAAGCATCTCCCCTGCAACCAATTGCCACTTTATTGAAAGGGCCTTGGTTGTGTGTGTCCATGCTTCATGTTTGTTTAACAGAAGGCTTCTATCAGCCTTCTAGTCTCGTTTCCTCAGTCGCTCCAATCTCGGGCAAGGCCGTGAATAGAGCTTGGGCCATCCAGCGATTCCAGCCTGCGATCCTTAAGACCGGGGTACCCGGTCCATGGGCAGGGGACCCAGGATCAACAACTGATGAGGTCATTCTTCTCTCTTTTTTTATGGATTTTGAACATTGTGGAATTTCAAACTTTAAAGCTTCAACTCCAGGTATTTTATTGTGGTTATGTGGATAACGTTATCACAATTACTCAAGATCTGCGTCGATATCGAACTGGGGAGAATCTCTGTATGGCGTTTGTCACGACTCATTGCATTTTAGCCCGTGACTTTCTCAACGGCGAGGTTCCAGGATTATCGCTGTTGAAGTTTCTCCATGTATCATGCGTGAACTATCTTGTGAAACCAGCTCTCTCCAATACAGCATGCACCCACAAAACATCTTGACTACAAATGTCATACAAATGGCAATCCATTGTCCTGACTCGAGACTGCAAAATCATGCCCAAAAGAGGTAGATCCTGAGATCCAGGACGGCATTGATCTTCATCTAAGATCCAAAGTCTTGGTTTTTCAGATCCACGGTGACAACGCGTTGAAGATATCTGACGTCTATCACTTTGACGACCGAAAATTTAAGCGAACGGTAGCCGATCAAGGTCTGTAAAAATTGTCCTCCAAAAATAGTCACTCGATAGCAGATCTCAAATTGTCGAATGCCGTCTTGGCAATGTCAAATCAAGGAATTTGTCTCACCAAAAAGACGGGCAGTAGTTAGCACGAGCAGCTAACGAACCGAACAGCCGAACACTTTTCTCTGCCCGTGTAATTCCCAGTAATTGACTACACCAACATTCAAGTGCTTATCCTGTATGACAACCCTCCACTCCGAGGTGAGGAAGTGCTCATTGTCGCCGGCGCACCACGATTGGTTCGAATAGTTTCTCAAACCTCCATGAAATCATGCTGATCAAGACCCTGACGGTTTACCCACCCGGAGTCGATCACTAGGCCTTCTACTGGTTTCTCCAAATCGATCGCATGATTTCAAATTCTCAGAATAAAAGATAAAACAAAAAGTGACATGATTATGCGCTATGCGACTCTACATGATTCAGTCTGCATTGACATGACCATTGCGTATGACCTCCCCGCGTTTCGCGGGGAATATTCAGTCGAGCCGGCGTTAAGTGCGGTCAGCATCCGACTGGCAGTCTACTATGCACAGTAACAGTTTAGGGTGACGCTACAACCAAGAGGATGCATCCCGTTTCCCTCGGAAATGCCAGGATGAACATGTCTCGTGAGGACTCTGAAAACGATCATGGCGTAAAGCTTAAGCATTGTATCTCTTGGTAAATGGCTCATCTTTGCTGAGCGCTTAGCAGCGTATACAATGTCAATACGCCAACGTCAAAGATGCCGAACAATCTCCAAATCACATGTGATTCATACCTTGGTTCTTTTGAGGCTATCTATATTCAACGTTATGGTTGATATGTCTGAAGTGCAGTAGTGATCATCTAAGCCTGATTATTAAATAAAATATAATTACCCGTATGCCTTTTCGAGGCCACATACATCAGATAGGTACTGAATATAACAGAACTACACAAAGATGCATCATTGTTTATGTACTTGTGAGTTATTGAATCTGTTATGAGTGTGAAACCACCCGTCAACACATCAACGTTACCCTGTACTAATTGAGTAATTTCTATATGCTCAGCGAAATTCACTGTGGTACTCCAGGTCAAGCATAAATCAAATGCTAAGAGTGTATAAACACTTACTACAAGGAGATGATGAAATACTAGATACAATTGACTGGCTACCAGAAGGGCTCTCGCTGGCACTGAACACCTTGGCTGAGATCCTAGGCAACAAAATATACGATGCTACTGTAGTCTCTCAGGGTCTCTCGATCAACTCAAATATAACATTCGCTTCTCTACTCTATTTCTTGCCATACTTCAAGATACCTCGCATTAATAACTTGCTGCAAAGCACTTATTCAAGTATAGACTTGTTCGACAATCAGCTTCCCGGAATCATCATCAAGCTCCAGTTGACTGCCCAGAACCCGTTGCTGTATTCTGCAACGAAGGCACAAGTACGCCGAATATATGAGCCAGCTGGCTCAGCATTTGTGACAACGAGGCCACATACTCATCTGCCAACCATGTGACAGCCGGACTTGAATCTTCTTGATATAGTCTCTCGACTGAAAATGTGAGCAAACTATCGAGTTTAATCCTAAATTTGATGTAACTCACGTTTATGTGCAGTCACGATGAAGGTGTCAAGTTCTTTTAATGCTTCCCGTTCGAACTCGTGTTTAAGGTCAAGTTCTGGTATGCATACGCCCGAATGTATTGCCCAGAAGTTGAAATCCGCCTTTTGTTGCACAATGACTTCTTTCTTTGGCATATTCAAGGGATGCTCGTCGTCATATTTATAGTGGTAGAGGATGTCGTCGTAAGCTTCCATGACGGTTTCGATATGTGCGAGGTGGCCCATGATGATGATTGAAATGATGAAACGAAGGACTAAGTTTCGAGAATACGATTTAACTTTGAAGATGGATCGCTCTCTGTTCTGAGAAAGAAAGTTCAAATACGGGTGATGATAATCGTGTGCCGTCTGTTAGAGATGATGCTCAGTGATGGTTCGGCCTTGGCCATTCTCAATTCGCAATAGGAGTCGTGGCTGACTGATATGAACTCAATATCAACAATATATTGAAAACGGGAAACAACAAACCATGGATGACCATACCAACCCGAATCTTCGCCAACTTACAGTTCTATAATCGCCATGAGGCAGGACCAAATGGAGCTCAGTGTTTACCTTCTTCTCAGGTAACTAACTACCTACACATCAAGTCAACATTAACTCAAAACATATCTGCACTTTACATCACCAGCAACAGGTGTATCAAGAGCAAGCATCCGCATCAGGTCGTTTCCATCTACTTATCAATCAAATCACTACCAAGAAAAGCTATCCACAATCGATATGTCTGGTCGACGCCTCCGTACCGTACGACACAGCGATTTCTGTCGCGTGTCATCTATCGCCTTATCCGTTCGCCTCTGTCTTAAAAAAATCATGAACCTCCCCGAAGTAAATTCGACTTCAAGAGGTGGAGACGCCTATTACCCGGACTGTGAAACTCTCGAGAAAATGGAGGTGGTCTTCATGAACTGGGTCAAAAGCTACAGGGCCATCCCTGAAGGCGAGCCATTTCCGCCAAGACAGATACCACGCCGCATTCCTAGGGCCTACTCTACCAGCTATCGGAACCCAGCCCTATTGAGGCAATCGTTTGAAGCAATAGACCGTCCAGTATGCTTGGAGACTGTACGCCGCACCGTTGAAGACCGTATGTAATGATCAGTTATGGGAGTTTGGATAGGGCTAACACTCAGCACCCAGTCTACCAGGCGTTACTACACAAGACCGGGAATCACTTCCATTACTTGCACATGGCCATCGAAATGATTGAGGAGATGTACCGCTGCGGCAAGTAATCCTCGCCCTATGTTGGGTAATCGCCAGGCTAACACATATATTAGGAGTACTGATTAGGGATAGAAAATTGAAAGCCAAAGGACAACACTCACTTGCCACATCCCGATAGATCAGAGAGAAATGATTGAGCTGCTTGATGGACTGAGCGGAAGCATTCTATCAGGCTTCATGGGATCATTTACAAGTCTTCAGGTCATCGTTTTGGTGTCCATCTGCGTTCTTTGGGATTTTCAACAAGCGCGTCCAACATTTTAGAGCTTGGCCTTTTACACAGCGAATCTTCATACTCAGTCGTTATAAATTCAATCTTTGTCTCGAGGAGAGGACCATGGTAGTTCTATGTGCAGTAATCACATGGTAAGATAAGGGTTGGAAATTTCTGTAGCATTCATTCTAAAGCATTGGGTGCTACAACGACACAGTTGATAGGGAAACTGACAAAACACACAAAATTTCGCCGAGTGACTGTTACGCTTCCTGCCTGGACATATACAATACAGCCTCATTGCCTACGGCTACCAATTATACGTGTTGGCAGCCACTGTCCGCATCGGCTGAAAGTGTAACAACTAAATTGACAATGCAGCATAGAGCAGAGAAGGCCTCAAAGCTATAAATAAAAACTATCTTATCGGTTCTTTGACGCCTTACATGTAGTGTCACTCATGAGCTCATAAGTATGGCATACTGATAATCTTACCAGGTGATATAGATTGTTGGAAAACGGTGGCGAGCGGTTGAAGAATGGAGCATTATTAGATAGCCTTGCCTAATATTCCTTTCTACGTTGAATGTAAAATCGGCCTCGAGTCTGGAAAAGAAAACTCGATCCTACTCATAATCTTCTCAAGACGTCCACCTCGAAAGAGTGGTCAAGCTCCTCTCAACACTGCTCGCATTACCCTGCGCTCCAGCTGCCGTGCGTACCTCAGGTCCCTCACGGTAGTCCTGCATAACTACCCCATGATGTCAGTACAGCTAATTTCTAGCCTGGAGTCAGATACTTACGCAGCTGGACTTGGGAGTTCAGGGTGGAAAGTGCCAGTCTGATTGCAGATCGTTTGATGCGATCTTCGTTCGGATCGTTTGGAGCAGTATTGTGAGTCCACGAGTCAAGTCTCATGCCGTGATTTCGGACCCAAGAGTTGTATTCAGAACGAAAGGACTGCAGCTTGTGGGTTTCAGGCCAGCCTGGGAGGTTGCCGCGCTTGTTGGCTTCGTACATGAGTTCGACGAAGCTTGAGGAGACGTCACTCATTTGCCGGGAGAAGTTTTCGTAAGCCATTTCAGGATTAATAAAAAAAGTATTGTAGTGTTTCTTAGTAGTGTTTTATTATGTAGGCCGAGACTTGGATAGTAATGTATAGTTAGCGGAAAAGAAAGCGTAACTGCAGAGCACTTTATATACCCAGAGAGCTTATCTGATTCATGAATGACACTAAACGAAGCAATTCATTTATTATAATGTTGATTGCTTTCGCTACATGGCTGTCAGCTTTTGCAAAACTCGAGTGTCACTCCTATCTTCATGACATAACAGGGCAGAAGAGCAAGTGAACAGACAGTCCTCCGATTGGAAAAGAAGCGTGATTAATCTTGCCGTGTTCTATACAACAAGATGACTTCACGGGGTTGTACAATATGACATTGGGTAACGACACAGCATCAGTGAGTCAGCCTGCAAGCAGTTTGTTGACTTGAAGTCTTGTCACCATATCCAAACAGTGCTTTGCTTTAATCACAGCCTCAATCATGAAAGGGGATTCAGTCTTGGCCCTTCAAAAGGCTACACGAATATGGAGGAAGCTATACGCTAACATATACGACAAGTTTGGAGATATACCACCAAACCCACTGCCATTGTAGTCACGCAGCCAGTGATCATTGGTGTCTCTGAACTGGGGATTTTATTAAGCTAGCGAGCGAAACTTTTTACTGCGATTGATATATTCTTACATTCCATGACTCAATACCCTCGGTCTTCACTGTTGGAACGGACCTGGACACCAAGTAGATATACCCAACAGCCAGTGGTGCTCATTGCACTAACTCGCCCATACAGTATCACCATAATGACGGAATAAGATCGCTTTGAGTGAAAGTGATAATGCTATCCAAAATACCGAAGCATGAAGAGATAATATCGCTCTTGTAGCTACAACCACATACTTATATGTGATATGGCATAAATTTTCTGTCTCTTTGTAGAAATAACGGCCACTCATGTGCAATCTTTCCAATTTTTGGGTATTTTTGAGCCCCGTAAGACATCATCTATCTAAAACCCTCGAAAACAGCATGACATGCCATACATCGGAAATTGGTAGGTTTGAGTTATGCTTATGTATGTCATTAGGTCTTGAAGCTTCATGGTCAAGTTAGCGCGCGGATTAATGAAGTACTCTAATTTACCATCCAAGCCGTAGTTCAATGGTTTGGCATCCCAATAAAATGCTGGTGTCTATCTTGATGCCTTCATAGTGATATGTAATCCCTCAGCCCACCACTGCCTGGGAAGCTGGAATAGATATGAGTGTGCCAATCGATATTGACAGACGCGCCTGTAAATATCCAAAAACTACACTGGCCACATTATGAGACTCTTCTACCTCTTCTCGACCTTGAGCCAATCAGCGAGGTTGGAGCTGGCTGGAAGTCCAGTAAGGTCACGAATTGCCTCTAGTACTTTGAGGGTATAAGTACATATAGACGTCTCAGCGATCTCAAATAAGAATTACGCTTAATTCACTTTGGGTCTCAGTTCAATCAAGCATGGGAGTCACTATAGTCAAGGTACTGGCTGATCTATAGGTGATAATAAGAGTGTATACAATATTCCTTAACAGAACATGTCACGCCTCGGCGATATTGAAAAAAGGAACTCCATTGCTTATAGTAACTTGTGAGGTCTAGTCTTGTTTCTTGATCAGCAAGGATACGTACATAGAGCTCTCGAAGCCTTCGTGTCTCTCCAAAGTTGAGATGTGTGGTCAGGCAAGGCGAGCCAGCTCAGCCAATAGGAAGATTAACTCGTCTGATGATATTCCATATCGGGAAACATACTGCGTTACTGGGTCCCACGAACGTTGTTGTTACATTGCATTTTGGGCCTCAGGTGATGTTAATCAAGGCAAGGCTGAAACAGTATGCAAGATGTCTGAGCTTATTACAACCTCATGTTTCCATCATCTTATTGCCCGTGTAAAAGAAAAGGATCGTTTATCGAGGCCGGACCTTGGTACAGCACACACATATTGGCTCACATTCACGAGAACAGCGTAACTAGTTGTATCTGCTCAACGGAGCTCCCAAGGGATAGTGGCCCCAAATAGGAAATTAAGATCGCAGTATTTAAACAGAATCACAAAACCACACAGTGTGTAATGCTTCGAACAATTTGACATTGATGGCATACAGGCACAGACTAGACTGAACCTCCCTACATAAACGCCTCATCAACGATAATGACTGTTTCGCTCCTATGTTTTCCCATAAATACATATACAGTATGGACTTCGTTCGTCGTTTCGCTGATTATACTGATTTCTCTCCCAATATCCAGATCCATTAAACGCTTGTCAAATTAGTACACAAAAAGATATGCCTGCCAGACGTTACACCATAACCGGTTCGACAGATGAAATGGGCATATGTGACATCGTTGTTGGGATCATGTAAGGTCCCAGCGCCGAAGACAAGATGCTAGCAATATTGCGAGCCATATCCGACTTCTTGCCCAGGCACCAAAGCGCCTTGGTGCAGTCCTCGCATCGGCGGACCAGGTTCATGACGCCAGGTGTCTCCAGGGGTGCGTGTTCATGTCGCACATTCTCCTCGACTTCAGTGAGGAGGAGAATTGCCGCCTTGGTGAATGCCCTGATGAGAATCATGGTCCAAGGCTCTGTCAAGATAGAGCCCTCGACAACTGCGAAATGGAGGTCCGAGATACCCGTGCCAGGAACATCACCGGCTCGAGGGCGTGTCGAAACTCGTGCGAGGTCCGACAAAGTAGCTGCACTGTCTCTTCGTAGCGAAACAACTACGTTGGCTGCCTGTCGCACCTGAGTCGAGTAATCAAGACCCAACTTGTTTTCATCCACAAGCTCAATCAGATCCGCGAGTAGGAGAGCAGCACAATGGAAATGAGCCACCACACACACAAACCAGCTCTGGATGAGTGTCGGGACACTATCGTACTGCTCGACCAGATCCCTGAAGAAGGCACCGTAGCTCACGTTCCAATGCTTGTACACAGCCATGGCATTCGAAATGACCTTCTCGACAGGTTCGCCTCGGTATCGACTTCTGACCGTGTTCTGGAGGTACGAGACATGCCGGAAGAGAATGACCTTAATGGGAGCTGCAGTGACAACACCCTTGGATGCAGCATCGTACGAACAGGGCCAACGAAGAACACCCTCCTTATTTTCGCGGACGAACAACTCTGCCCACCATCTGGCGTCCTGCGGTCGATACTCGATATTGTAGGATTCGTGTTCTGGATGGTCTGGATAAGTCGGGTCATGGTGACACTCCTCATCTGAAACAACCACGGGCCGGCCGTTCATGGACGAAGATACAGTGTCGAACATGACTGTCATCCAGTAGACAAGACCAATAGTACCCTTGTCCTCCTCGCTTAGAGACTCTGCAGATGTAGCCTTCTCCAATCCCAGAGAACTTCCAGAAGCATCCAGCACGCCTGTCTCGCGAGCTTCGTACTGAAACTTGAGAGCATGCATCTTTCTTGCTGCTCGCTCCATAAATACTGGCGGTCCTTCTGCGGCAATAATTTCGCTGAGCTGAGATGCAATCGATCCCTCACCCGAAGCGATCGGACTATCGCTAAAGTTACCCATACCAAACGGCATATCGTTGTTGTTATCCTCCTCATCTCTCGGCTTCTGTGCTAGTCCCATGATCAAGTCGGCACAAACCACACGGAAACATTCCATATCTGAGCAGTCCTGCAATGCCCGCTTGGCCTGGGCCCAAAAAG